TCAACCGGGACCTGGACAGGGACCGGACGAGATCTCAGTGGCGCGGAAGCCAGGGTGGCCCACACCACCCCCGGCGCCCGCTTTCCGCGAAGGCACCATCCCTGCACCCCCCCTCCTGCCGGCCCCCCAGCCCCGACTCACAGCTTCCACGTTGCCATTTACGTTGATGTTGTGTCTTTTCAGATCGGACTTGATCAGCGCTGGAAAAACATGGCGCGGTCAGCCCACCCAGGGAGACCCACGTCGGTAAGAGGGGTTTGGGGCGCCCTCCCTGGGGGTGCTGTGTTAGGGCGCAGCACTGCAAGCCGGCCGCGGCCACTTTAGGGTGAGTTCTATCCCGGCCCTGGAGGGGACCCCAGGGTACAGCAGACCCCTCCTGTCTCCCTGCTGCTCTCCTCAGGAGTGTGCTTCGTCCGTCTGCCTGTTCTGCTCCCCGCTCTGTCTCTGTGAAGCCTCTCAGCCCCCTGTACCCTGGCCTGTACCCCAGTTCTGTATGCATCAGTAAATGAGTCTTAAAAAAAGAAAGAGGGGGTTGGGGGGACAGAAGGAAGGGGGTGGCGTGGCCTGGCCTCTGCTGTGTGACAACCCACACTGGACATCTGGGATGCCTGGGCCCGTGCTGTCTCTCCCTGCCCTCGTCCTCCTGGCGACACTCAGGCGGTGTGAGGACAGGAGACCCCTGGCAGTGACCTCCCTGCCCCTGGGCACCAGCCCGGGGGAGCTGGGGTGCAGGTGCCCAGTGGGGGCTCCATGACGCCCCCGGCTGCTCACTGTGGCCCCTGACCCAAGGGACAGCGGGGGCATCCCGGCCACAGTCCGGGGAGCAGGGTCCCCGCCAGGCCAGTCGCCTCTGGCTGCTGCCCCACGACTTCCTGCCCTGTGGCCACGGAGCATGGAAACCCGACACGATTTGTGTCCTCGGATGAACACCAGGGCGGCCGCTCCTCAACGCACGGCCCCCTTGACTTCTGAAAATGAAGCAGAAAGACAGGGGGACACAGAACTCATGCGGGCGCCTCACCGGTCAGGATGACGCCCACGAATATGCAGGCACAGAGGAAGATGTTGCCCTCCATGGGGCCGAAGTGCAGGACGAGCTTCCCTTGAATCAGGGTGAAGAAGATCCCAAACACCTGCGGGAGACGAGGGCGTGACCTTGAGCGTGTCTAAGGGGGGCGTTCCCCCCCAAACGTGTGGTCACTACCGTGTTCACAGGCTTTGGTACCTGGAAAACTGTCAGGGACACTACGGTCCCGCCCGGGGCCCACAGACTGACGCCGGGCGGCCGACGGAGGCCTACCTGGGCAGAGGCGTTGAGGAGGCCGGACGAGGTGCCTTCAGGCTCCGGGTACGTGATCTCCACAGCGAACTCAAAGCCCAAGGGCAGGTAGCCGGTCATGAAGAAACTGAGGAGACAGGCCCGGGCGGATGGACGGGTGTCCGAGGGGTGACGCCCCTGTCCCTCCCCAGGCCGCCGAGCCCGGCAGCCCCGGCCACGAGCATGGGAAATTCTGTTCTGCGGAACTGAGCTCTGGCTTTCGGAGTCATCTGCTCTTCTAACCAAATGAGGTGACTGAGGTCACGTCAGGCTAACGCACGCGTAACACAGAGCACACCAAGCCACCCCGAACACCCCCAAGGCGCGGCAGACCCCTCCCGCCTCCCTCAGCTCCCTCAGCAGTGGGTGTCAGCAAATCTGCCTGTTCTGCTCGCCACTGTGGCTCTGGGGAGTCCTCTCACGCCCCCCACTCTGGCCTGTACCCCAGTTCCGTATGCAGAAATAAATACATCTTTTCAAAAAATATTGAAGAGCCCTGGATGATCTTAAGGACCTAAAACCCGCTTACGAGCCGCTCAGACCGGAGGCAGGCACCCCGCGGCTTACCCCAGCACCCCTCCGGTGATGAACACGACCAAGATGTGCAGGTGCAGCGTGAAGGTGAACACGAGCATCGCCACGAACGACAGCAGGTACACCATCAGCGTGGTCTGCCTGCAACGGTCCGGGGTGTCAGGGCGCCGGGCTGTGGTCGTCCCCGGGCCGCGGCGCGTGCTGAGGCCGCCGGAAGCCCGGTCAGCGGAGCCGGGGCCGACCAGAGCTGTGACAGGCCCAGAGCCCAGGGTGGGCGTGAGCGGTGGCCCAGGCGCGCCCCGGCCTTGCCGCTGACCCCCACGCAGTCACGCCGGCCTCGGCCCTCACGGCGCTCGGTCACCTAGCCAGGCGGGGGTTCCCTGGGTCTGGGAGCCCTCGTGGGGTCCCCGTGGGTCAGGGCGGGTCCACACCGTCCCCCCCTCGGCCAGGAGGGCTGTGTGAGCGCCACCCAACATCAGGGGGGCTCAGCCCACGCCCCAGCGGCCCTCCCACACACCCCAGCCCAGGCTCTCCTCCCAACGACCCCCCTGTTTTCCATTTCCACAGCTGACGCCGGACACCCACTGTAACCTGCTAAGTGACCTCCTGGTCACTGCTCACGCTGCCCCCTGAGTGCTGAGGTCAGGCCAGAGCCAGACACACGCTGGCTCGACTCTGTAAGGCGAGCAGTGCACCCCGGGGCTGAGCCGGAGGGTCCCAGCCACAGCCCAGGGCGGGTCCAGCCACCAGACTGGCCGAGAGCCGCAGGGGACACAGCACCATGTCGTTCACCCCCAGCGTTCACCCCATCGGCTTCTGGGGTGCTGCCACTTTCCCTTGGGCACCCAGTGCCCACAGGGGCCGCAGAAACGTGCGGCCCAAGGCGTGTCCACGTCCCTGTCCCTGTCCCAGGAAGGCTCAGCTCAGGGGCAATTTCGCCAAGAACCTAACTGAAACAAGGCTGATGACGGCCCTCCCTGGTGGCACTGCAAGCCGGCTGCAGCCACCTCAGTGCGAGTTCGATCCCCGCCCCCTCGGGGACCCTCAGGACGCAGCAGACCCCTCCTGCCTCCCCGCTGCTCCCCTCAGCAGTGGACTTCGTCCGTCGACCTGTTCTGCTCCCCGCTCTGTCTCTGGTGAAGCCTCTCACCGCCCCTGCCCCTCTGGCCTGCACCCCAGACAGGGCTCTCCCCAGAACAGAAGTGAGGCCCCCCCCCATGGCGAGGGAGGGCCCAGGAGGGCCGTGGCCAAGTCTTGTGGTGGCGTTTTCTATATTTAAGGCAGAAAGTTGGCTTCTTGCAGCCCCGAGCACGCACGGTGCACGCACTGGCCCTGGGTGCAGACACACCCGGTCACCTACTTGTACGTCTTGGAATAGTCCAGCCACAGGCCGCAGAGAATGGAGCCCACCATCCCGGCCACCACCAGCGTCAGCCCGATCCTGCCGGCGTTCACCTCTTCTCCCTGGGGGTGGTCAGGGGGGTTCGTCAGACACTTGGGGTTCAACCCCCCCGCCCCCCGAAGGGCATCTCAGAAGGCAGGGGATGCCCACATGTTGTGCTGAGCAGGCCAAGTACAGGAAGAGCAGACAGAGGCTTCCTGACTTAAAACTGGGGGGTGGGGGGGCTGGAAAAGAGGTATCCAGAGGGAGACTTTCCTCGAGCCCCTGTGTTCAGAAAGACAGTGATTTGGAGGAGGGTTCGGACATAATTCACAGGTGACTGCCAAGGGGTGATGCAGACACTTGGCACGTTACATAAAGAAGGGCCCTCCCTGGTGGGGAGCACAGCGCCATGGAGCTGTCTGCAGCCACTGCTGCACGAGCTCCATCCCCGGCCGGGGGGGACCCCTCCTGTCTCCCCGCTGCTCCCCTCGGCAGTGGGCTTCCTCCATCTGCCTGTTCTGCCCCCAACTCTGTCTCTGGGGAGTCCTCTGACCCCGCACCTCTGGCCTGCACCCCAGTTCTGTATGCATCAATCAATCTTTAAAAAAAACTTTCAGGCTTCGGTTTTGTCAAAGCAGCAGACACTCTACTCTGAGGGTCTCCCGCCGAGCTAACACGGTGCTACTCGGCCTCCCGGGGCCACCGGGATGGGACACGGTCGCCAGGCACGCACCTGCCAGGAATGCACCCCCCAGGCACGCACCCCGCCAGGAATGCACCCCCCAGGCACGCACCCGCCAGGAATGCACCCCCCAGGCACGCACCCCGCCAGGCACGCACCCCGCTGGCGCTCACCTCGTAGTGCTTCAGGATCATCTGGTTCAGCAGCGTGGAGACTGAGTAGAACGCCCCGGTCATGATGCCTGCGAGGGAAGACAGGGCCTGAGCGAGCCACCGCCCCCGCGGCCCCGCGGCCGGACGGCCAGACATGCACCCCCCAGGCACGCACCCCGCCAGGAATGC